GGAACAAGGTAAGTGAAGTTTGGGGACCAAACTTCTTTAAGGGGGGAAGGATGTAACAACCCACATTAATGTCCTAGTCATGTTTGCATGCATTTATATGTTTTGCCATGTTAAGTTGCTGTAACAACCCATATTCATGTCATGGTCATGTTCATGTTCATTTACATAACTTTGTCTTGTTAAGTTTGCATTCATGAATCTTGTCTTGTTTTGCTTAAGTGTTGCTTGCATGCTTTGTCCCTTCTCTGCTATGTTAAGCCTAGGTCATGCCAAGCCTAGGTCATGTTACGCCTAGATAATTCCAAGCCGAGGTCACCTTTAGTCTAGAATCTATCTTGGAACCACTTTATTTGACCTCCACCTTCGCCCTGACATATTGGCCGAGATGTCATTATCTAGGCCGAGGTGTTCATCGCCAAGGCCGAGATGTGTATTATCTAGGCCGAGATGTTACCTTTGCACCTAAGTGATCTTGTCCTAGAGTGGTATGACCTAGACCGAGGTGTGGCACATCTAGGCCAAGGTGTGGCACAGCTTAGTCAAGTGTTGTCCTTCCTAGCCGAGGTCATTATCACCTTAGTTGCCAAAGCTTTGTCCTTAGCCGATGTCATCACTTGCCGGAGTGCCTTACCGAGTAGCTTGTTAGATACACTTTGTCATAGTCTTGTCTTGTCAATCTATCACCTTTTTTAGGAGAACCAACCAGTCGTTGCCACGTGTCCGAGCTGAGTGTTAAGCCAGCCAGCAGAGGGAGAAAACCTATCATTTCTATGTCTTTGTTTTGAAGATGAGAGAGAAGCTCTAGAAGAGGGGGAGGAGTTCTTGAGGGAGAGTAGATTTCCAAGCTTGATCCCTAGAGATCGAACCGTTAGATCCGTGTTCTAAGGTTAGATTCTTGAACTGCTCATGTTGTTCTTTATGTTCATGTTATTGCATTGCATGATTGAACATGATTTGTAAGCCATGCATTGCTTTGAAGTTCGGTTTTAGAAAGAGAAAATAGTATTCATGTGTTCTTCAAGAAAAGTCACGTTTTGATCCAAAAGCTCATGCCAAGATCTATGTTTTTGTGTTTGTTTTCATATGATTTTCAAGTATGGGTATCCAGGTCCATGTTTTCGAACTCATAGCATGAAATCCCAGATTTTCTCATTTGTTGTATCTTGTTTTGAAGAGTAGAGAGAGAAGCTCTAGAAGGGGGAGAGGAGTTCTTGAGGAAGAGTAGATTTGCAAGCTTGATCCCTAGAGATCGAACCGTTAGATTCGTGTTCTAAGGTTAGATTCTTGATCTGCTCTTGGTGTTCTTTATGTTCATGTTATTACATTGCATGATTGAATATGATTTGTAAGCCATGCATTGCTTTGAAGTTCGGTTTTAGAAAGAGAAAATAGTATTCATGTGTTCTTCAAGAAAAGTCACGTTTTGATCCGAAAGCTCATGCCAAGATCCATGTTTTTGTGTTTGTTTTCATATGATTTTCAAGTATGGGTATCCAAGTCCATGTTTTCGAACTCATAGCATGAAATCCCAGATTTTTGTAATAACGAAGTTATGATTTTAGCATTCATATTCTTTATGATCTTCATGTTCTTCATGTTCTTCACGGGTGGAGACCCAGATCTCCAAACCTCACTTCCCTAAGTGTAGTCGCCGAGATCACTCTTACCTAGACCTCACACTTAGGCCAAGTATCGTATCTCACCTTGGCCTACCTTGCATGATCACTTACACCTTTAGTTTGTCTTGTACGCACCTCGGCATGCAGGCGCACGTCGAAGCCTAGGTAGCCACACCTTGGCCAGGAGGTGTGGGACCTCGGCAAAGACCTGGTTGGTACCCAGCATGTCTTCTTGACATGTAAAACAGTGTTTTGACTTCCAGCATGTTTTCTCGAGATCATTTGAATACATGTAAGACTTATTTTTAAGAGTACAGTATACTTTGCCATGTATTTGTAGGACTTGGACCTTTGCCTTGATACTGACATCCCAAGAACTATGTGAGTGGTATTTTTAATAAAGCTATGTTATAATGCTTTGATAAAAGCCTTGTTTTGCTTTGTTTTGGAAAGTATTTGTTGAGTATGAATGATTATCCCTATTTTTATGTATCAAGTAAGTTTTGTTTTCATGACATTCCTGGAAAGTTCCTTGTACTGGAGGACTCTAAACTTTCGCAGTACTATGTATGAGAGATCTCTGCCATCGACGGTCTAGGATACGGATGGCCCCACCGATGGTCTAGGATACGGGTGGATTTGTCTAATCGATTCTGGGTCGATTATTCCCTTGTTTTGTCTTGTTTTGCCACCGACGGTCTATGAACGGGTGGGTTTGCTTGGTTCGAAATGTCATCCCTTGTATTATGTAGATGTCATTAAACATCCCAAGAAGATTTGAAAGGCCAAGATTTGATTGATGAATTTGATTCATCCCATGTTTTGAACAAGCTATGATATATGTATTGTTTTGACAAAGACCTCAGGAATCATTCATTTAAACCTTTATTACTTATACCATTCATTGAGTATCCAAGCTCACCCTCCCTATGTATATGTAGGTAACAAGCAGGAAGTCGGCTACGCCGAGATGTGTGTTTTGTATGCATGTTATGTCGGCAGTAAGGATGTCGGCAATTTTGAAGCTTATGTATTTTGAACATGTCAGCTCGAGAAGCCTTTTACCAAGATGTAATATGTATTTTTGTACTTCATTTTGTTGTATTAAAGCTATGTAAAGATGTATGCCATTCCATTTAACTTATGCACTGCTCTTATGGACTGATTAGATTTGTATATATTGTTTCCGCACATGTTAGCCCCATATGTAAAACTCTGATTATGTGTGAATTTTGAAAGTTGGCCTTCGGTAATCTCGGATTACTGGCCATCACGGCACCATTCTACTAGGGGCGGAATGGGGTCGTGATATAGACTACACATCACGTAGAAAGAGTGAAAGGGTACAAGCCAAGCCACACTCGTGTGATAAGGGTAAACAAGCCTAAATGCATGCAATGCGAAAAGGGTGAATACAAGCCAAATCAGACCGTTGGGTGATAAGGGTGGATGCAATAAAATGATATAGGTATGATGCATATGAACGCGATGCAATTACTACAGTTGACGCGAAATACAATGCGATACATGTTCCATGCAACGCAATAGAAAAGATGAACAAAAAGCAGTACCTTCGAAAGCACCTCATGGGGGGCAAGTGGCAAGAAATACCTTACCACGCTTGGGGACAATAATCCTAAACGCATTTCAGCTGAAAAAGATAGATGCTACAAGATAACGCATGATGCAAATGGATGCAATTAGTGCAATTGACGATGTAGTATATGTGATACGCAATGTAGCGGATGATGCTTGCGCAATGTAATAGAACAAACAAAAGCGATACCTTAGAAGGCACCTCATGGGGCAATGGCCTTTTGAAAGAGTAGTGGCCATCTCGGGGGTACATTGTTCTAAATCTAGTTTTCTTTATCATTTCCATGCTTCATATCTATTTTTGAATGCTTTAAGGTTCGAGTGCTCAATTCATAACATTTCCCTCTCATATCTAAATTTTCGAATCAAGACACTTTAATTATGACGGGACAAGTGGCCTTTGACACGAATCACGCTTTTTCTAATTTTTTTCAAAAATATTAGGTAGCATGCCCTCTTAATTAAAAGAAAACTCTTAAAATTTGAAAAAATTGTAATAAGTCTTACAAGGTTAATATAATTATAATTTTTTTAATATTTTAATTCATATAACACATAATTCATTTTTTATTAAAAAAATTGTTTGTTGTATAAATGAAAAGAATAATGTTATTATCTATTGAAATATGTATATTACCTTGTATATTTTTGTGATTTCATATCATCCATATTAATTTTAATTGATCAAAATTAAAATAAGGCCAAGTTAGGCATGTGTCAAAAAAGTCAAAAAGTCAAAAAATTACTCAGGAAGTTAAAAAGTTATCACTATTCACCAAAACTCAAAAAGTACGGTTGCACAACTCTCAATCCTAATTTTTTCCTACACACTAATTTATACAATTTTTTAATACACATTTTTTCATAAAAAGTCAAAAAACTAACCCAAACAACTATATTTTTTTACTCAAATTTTTAGTTCAAAAAGTACACTTATTTAGGACATCCCAAACAACCCCTAAATGTCAATATAATTTCATGAAAATTATGCAATTTATTATATTTTTTCGAACTGAAGAACAGTGTGAGGACAGTGTAATTTACCCTAATTGAAACAGCAAAGCATGTGTTAACTTGGACACAAATTTACCATTTGAGCATTTGAACTGGAGAGATACAAAGAGGAAATGGAGACCCGCATTGGACAAAAGCCTCAGCACTGTTTTAGTCTATCTGTCCCTCTGTTTATTTTGTCATTATTATATAATGCTTGCAGTATATATACATATATACACACCTGTATACTATAAACATATATACACGGAGCTGTTTTTTTTTTTTTGTTTTTAGCCGATGTTTTTGACCCCGTCCGACTAATTCTCGAGAAAGCAATCACAGCAACCCACTGCTGCTACTCTCGCTTAAATTTCAAGTTTAATTCCAAAAAAAATAGAACCTTTGACTAATTCTCGAGAAAGCTATCACAGCAACCCACTGCTGCTACTCCCGCTTAAATCCCAAGTTTAATTCCAAAGAAAATCGAACCTGTGACTATGAGCCTTACCTACACAGTCACATGTACGTCCCTACCATTGGGCCATCTTAGGGTGAGTATATAGAGAGCTGTTATCCTCACCTTATTTTGTTCAACTACCTTTCATTATTTATGCTTATTATATATAATTATATTAATATTTTTTAAATTTGAAGTTTTTCAAAAAATATATTTTGTGTAAAAATATATTAATGTAACTAAGTATAATAAAATCAAAGAATAAATTGCATTTAGAATAAAATTTAATAGAAATAGCGACTCTATGTATATATATATTAATTCCACATCCACCCATCTACTGTCTCCATCCCCCCTCCAGCTCTACATTACATTCACTCTTCTCCTCTCTCTCTGTGTCTCTCCTGAAACCCTCTCTCTTTCTTTCTCTCTCAAATATTGTGTGTCCAAGCTCTCCAACGCCGCCGCATGGTGTTGTATATTATATAGTTAAATATATCATTTGATATAAGAGTAGTATTATTAGTTTTTCCGACGATGTTGAGGAGATGACGATGAGGAACAGTATGGGACAGTTTGTGGATACGACTCTGACCAAAGTCTTCGTCGGAGGATTGGCATGGGAGACTCCGAAGGAAGCCTTGAGAGACCACTTTGCCAAGTACGGCGAGATCGTAGAAGCCGTGATCATCTCCGACAAGATTACTGGCAGATCCAAGGGCTACGGTTTCGTAAGTAGTTTTAGCAACTCCATGGATCGGTATTGCAGACCATAGTTTTTTTTTATTATTATATATATTCTGACTAATGGAATTTGGAAGTTTTTGCTAACGTGCGCTTGGTTGGTGGCTCTGTAGGTGACGTTTCAGGATTCGGAGGCGGCGAAGAAGGCTTGCGAGGACGCCACCCCGATCATCAACGGCCGCCGAGCCAACTGCAATCTGGCTTCGCTCGGAGGACGACGCCCGAGATCAACCTCAATCATGCCTCTCCCTCAACAAGGTGTTATGTTTTACTCATTTATCCATTTGCTTCTTATCAATTCACAGAATTACCACACAGTCCGCTTGTTTGATTTTTTTTTTTTTTTTTCAGTTGCAAATTAATAATTAAAAAATAAAAGTTAAATTTATTTCTTCTTTAATTTTTAGATAATTAATTTTTTCAATTTATTTAAATTATGTCTATCTAATACTCCATTTCAAAAGCACCCACCACGCTGATCAAACAAAAAAAAAGACCCACCAGAAGATTTGTTTTGATTATCTCAACATTTTATTTTGTATTGACCCATGCGTATCAATAATTAAAAAAAAAATTAAATCGATTCATATTGTGTTTGTATCTAAAAAAATTAGACGAAAAATATTTTTAAAAGCAAATAATCTATTTTTTTAGAGGTAAACATAATAAAATTAAACGTTATGATTATAAGATCGATTTAAATATATATATATATATATATATATATATTTTATGGATAAATTACACACAAAAAAAAAATCTTAAAATATTAAAACAAAATCCGTCATAAATTTTATAGATCTCTGAAACTCTCTTAATTTCAAATTTAAACCAGGGAGGAGTAAAATTAAAATCAGAAGCTATAAATAGTTTATATAAACCATACCAAATATATTGAATGGCGTTTTAGTAAATTTATAGAGTGCATGGGTTCTAAGTTGGGGATGTAAATCATGAAGGATCTAAAGTAGGACCAAGATCTGCATCGTCAGCACCACCGGCCAGATACATGCAGTGGTACTATCCAGTGGGGACACATGCATCGACGTTTCATCATCAGCACCATCAGGCCGTTGCTTTCTATGGGTACGTCTCTTATTTCTTGATTTAAGCCAGTGGTATATTTTCATTCATATAAAAACATAGGACTCGGCTTATCTGATAACTTCCTTTACACAGGTACAGGTACCCTCCTTCCTACGTAGCCACAGATATCAGTTACAATCAGGCAAGTAGATGCTTATGAGTGGAAATTCCAAATCAGTGAAACATTTTGGCTCCGTTTGGTGGAGTTTTCAAAATTCAGTTCAACACTCACTTTTGAGTATGATGTTTGTTTAGGGTTTTCAAATCATAATTCTACACTCATTTTTCAAAACTCAATTCAAAATATAATCATTACTTTTCAAAACTCATACCAAACACATAATTCAAAATTCTTTTCAAAACTCCATTCAAATCAATATTTTAAAAATATTTTAATTTTGTTAAGATTTTAAATATTTTAATATTTAAATATGTTACGATTTTTTTAATTTTTTAATTTTTTTAATTTTTTGAATATTTTTAAATATTATGATTCTAATTTTTTAAATTTTAAAATATTTTATAAAAATAAATTCAAACTCTATTTTATAAAAATATTTTTAAATATTTTATTTTTTTTTTTGTTATATATTTGGTTACGATTTGAGTGTAGAGTTGTGAAAGTAGTATGGAGTTTCGAGTTATGTGTTTGGTTATGAGTTTTAAAAATAATTTTGTAATTGAGTTTTGTTTTATGTGTTTGGTTACGATTTTAGTATAGAGTTGTTTTTAAATTTAAAATATTAAAATTTTAAATTATTTTAATTTTTTGAATATTTAAATTATTTAAATTTTTACGATTTAAAATTTTTGAATATTTATTTTAATTTTTTACTTATTAAATTTTTTAGATTATTTAAATTATTTAAATATTTATGATTTAAATTTTTTGAATATTTATTTTGAAAAAAAATTATTTCCTTTGTAGTATTTTCAATTAAAAAATTGATTAATGTTATTTTTTGTTAATAATAAATTTTTTTAATTGAATTTTAAAAAGAGTTTGGTTATGAGTGTTGATCAAAATTTTCAATAATGTGAAAGTAATGTGTTTTGTTATGAGTTATAACAATTTGAATTAAGTTTTGAAAACTCTTTTCAAAACTCATAACCAAACAAATTTTCTTACTTCACATGTCAAATCAAACTTTCAAAACTCAATTCTACACTCAATTCCACACTCAATTCAACACTTTATTCAAAAACCATAACCAAACAAATTTTCTACACTCAAATCATAATTCTAAAACACACAAACTCAAAATACAACTCATATTCTCAAATCATAGTTACAAAGCTCTACCAAACGGAGCCTTTATTTTTTTTTTAAAGTTTCAAATTAGTGGTAAATTTAAAGAGAATTTATTAAAAAATTCTCTTCCCATTCTCAATTAATTAGTACATAAAATATTTTTATATTTTAATAGGCTCTATTATTTTGAACATTTTATTTGTCAAATTTTAATTTTCATATTTAAGGTATTTTATTGATAATTTTACCTTCATAAATATTTTTAAAATTTTTAACAACTTAGTGTGCACTATTTGGAAATATTTTGTGCTTTTTATATATTAAACTTTAAAAATTCATAACTTTTATTGTACATATTTTTTTTAATAACATTTATATTTTTGAAACCTAATTTACGAAACCTATCAAATAATCTCACTCAAATATGTAATTTTATAAAATAAATAAATTTGACAGTGTGAATTCACATTGACGGTGTGAATGTTTACATTATAGAACATTCATACTGTCAATGTGAATATTAATGCGCTACTTCACCCTATTATTATTAAGAGTATTTTGGTAATTATAGCACTTATAAGTCTTATTAGAACATAAAAAATAATAATTTAGACTAAGTGAAACATAAATAGGTAAGTAAGAATTTATGAACAAGTACCTCTAAATTTAAATTTTTTATAAAAAAAATTCCTCTGAATTGCAATTTCCTTTCCTATTATCATGTACAACAGCTTCCTTAGATTATCTGTTTCTAATATTTTTATTTCTTCTCTCTACTACATTTTCGTAATTTTTTTTTTTAAATCTGATATATAATTACCTGTTTGATATAGTTTATCATAAATTAAAAATTAATAATTAACAAATAGAAGCTTGAAGCACTCCTCCCCAACTTTCATATAATTAGCTTTTTTAAGTTATTTAAACTATTTTAACATAAAAAGCTGTAAATAGACGTTACACCAAACAGTTTGGCATATATTCTCAAATTAAAATAAGCAATAGACAGGTCATTTAAACTATAACAAACACTCCAAATGTGACACATTAAATGTCAATTTTTTCTTTACCAATAAATTTGAAAATCTAAATCGTGAGTTTCTAATCTCTCTTAAAACACTACGAGTAACATGATTGTCTTAAAATTTTTCTATTTTGTTTTTCTTACCTCATCATATAGTTTGGTAACAATGTGAAATCTGATTTGTGTGTTCGGTGGGTTGGTGGAGCACAGAAACTAAGCTACACCGGGGGGTCCTACATGAATGGGCATTTCTTGCAAGTGTATCCGGGTCAAACCGTGGTGGGTGCGAACACATCGATCCCAATGTACCCTCTCTACAACTTCCATCAATCGCAGACCATGGGCTCCCCTACTGCTCACATCTATAGCCCAACAACTGTAGGCCCAATGACCACAGTCCCAGCCCTCATCTCAAAGCCCATTTTAATGGGTCCCAAAACAGGTACACACATATCCAAGTTCTACTTACATCACATGCTATATTATGCTCAATTTTTTATTGTTGACACAAAAAGTGATGCTGGAAAAAAAAATTATGAGTCAATGTTGATGTGAAAGAACATGTATTATTTCAACATGTGAATCTGTGATTTGGTTCTGGCCCAGTGCCAGTTGGGCTTCTGATCCACATCGTCAAATGACAAAAATGACCTTTGATTTAATAAATGTCCCTTTTTAACTTTTGATTAAATATTTATGAATAAAACTCCGCGTACTAATTAATATATTAATTAGTATATTAATAGATTATTTGATATAATTTTAAAAAATTTGAGTTTTTGTAGTTTATATAATAGGTGGGGTCCATAATTTTAAAGTTAGAATGTCATAACATATAATGATACACTCATCGATATACTAATTGATACGTATAGCACCAATGTTTATTGGTATAAGTTTAACATTACTATTTTGGATCTAATTATTTTATCTCAGCCAGTGTTTGGAAATTATCTTAGATTATATTTGGAATTTGCCAAAGGAAAGAGAAAAAGGAATAATTATTCATTAATTTTGGAGTAAGAATTTGGTAAGTCTATATAGTGATTTTAGATTAATAATAGTAACAATTGTAGGATAGATGGATGGAGTTAATTTGACCCATTTTAATCAGCTGGATGGCAATGATGTTAGCTCTATCTATCCTTTGTGTATTCTTATTGGTATAACGAACTATCTCCGTAAGTCATATTTCAAGATTAATGAATTATTTTACAAGAAAGAGAAAGAAAGTAAGTAGTTGTAATTAATTTTCTTTGTTTGGATATGTTGAGAGAAAGAAATGAAAATAATATATGTATAGCTAATTAAGCTAGATCAGTTGATTATTCCTATACATTCTTACACAGGGAGTTAAATAACAAATATTGATGATCTCTTCCATTATAGGTGTTTTATGTAATTATTTATTTATTTTTCCCAGTTAGGATAATTTTCATAGTAAATGCATGCATAAACCATGACTTGAATAGTGAGATTTCTCCCTTTGTCATATCTTTCATTTTTTTATTACCATATTTCTGGTTAAATTCATTTCAATTTCCCACATCTTTTTCCTTAAATTTTTTCCCTCCCAAATTTTCCTTTATTTTCTCTTACTTCCCACAAATTCCAAGCACAACCTTAGTAATGTATGATATGATGAGACTTTTGAAAGTGAATCCATTATTAATTTCCAAATTTTGTTTTGATTTTATCGTTTTCAAACTATTTCTAGACGTGTGACCAAACACTTCTTCTATTAGCAACTAATGATGAAGACTTTCACAATTTGATGGTTTTTCCCAAATTTTGCATGAAAAAAATAATAATAATAAAATAAAGTAATAATAATAATAATAATAATAACAATATTACTTACATACACAAAATTAACCACCTAACCAATCACACAAGCTTTCATAATCTCCTCCAATGATAATAGGTATTTTACTTATCTAAACATTACTATAAACTATATATTTTATTTTGCCTATCAACTGTTTAGCATTTGTACTCCAACCATGCTCTTTATTTTAGCAAATCATCCAAATGCTATTAATTTTATACAATGGCACATCAGCAACAAAGATGGAGGGAAATTATCTTAATGATTAAATACATTTTGCCTAGTCTTGAAAGCTAGCTACATGTAGCTAGTAAATGTGAGTTGGACTAAAATTCCTAATCATATGTCTAGTGCATTGGAGTTAAAATAAGTAAGTCATACTAATATTTTAACTAACAAATATTATATGTCTAATGGGTTGGAGATACTCTAAGCTTTAGAAAGCTCCGGTGAGACTAGCTTTGAAATTTATTCATTATTTTTATTATTTCTCAAAAATCAATTAGGAAACTGCCCTCCACCTTCTTCCATTTTTATTCCAATAGGTGGTTAATTAAAACTAAAGAATCTTTGAAGCACATGGTCCACAGATATGTTGTGTCATTAACAAGACCACATGTGTGTGTCTATGAGGAATCAGAATATATAATTGTAAAAACGCCATTTATAAATGTGCAAGTTTATAGCACCATTTTTTATTTTATTTTTTTGACAATTTTTATTATTTATATGCATATATAATTGTGAATTGATATTGGACATATATCCGCAGTTTGTCTGGCTGTGGAATAGGTACAATTGGTGTTGGTGAAGCTTTCAAAAAGGGAAAATAGCAAAAGAAGGGTGGTGATGGGTTGCTGCTCAGAGAACATTGTCATCTGATCTGTGGTGATTCTTCTAATTTCCATGTATTGTAATTAATTTTTTATTTTTGAGTGTCTCATTGGATTCATTCATTCTCTCTCTAACTTGAGCTGCCAACAACTACAAATTAAAAATAAAAAAAATTGTAATCCAAGTCATGCTAGTATTATATTGGATGCTTTTCATGCCTATCATTCAACTCTGCTACACCTCTCTCATGGGAATGTTATTATAGTTATCCTTTCACGATTGTGATCATTTCCATTCAGGATTGAAATAGGATTTTATTATCGGAGGGGTTAAAAGAACAGTAATTTTTTTCATCATATATACAAATACACATGTATATAGAATATGATATATAAATTGTAAATATACATAAAAAAATAAAAACTAATATACCATAGAAGCAATCTCTAATAGGATGAAAAAAAAAATTTAGTGCAAAATAAAAAGAGAATGCAAGATGGGAGAAGAATGAAATATATATACATATATATATATATATATTTTATACTGGAGAGCCAATTTATGTATAAAATGGTATATGTTTTTAAAGTACTATGATAAACAGTATTTTTCATAGAAACAAGGGAGTCTGTTTCCGTCCGTCTCCATTACATATTTGTAATGGGAGAGATTCCATTATATCATCTTAGGATAAGTGTACTGATTTTTTTTTAATTTAAATTAATAATATGTCCGCATAGGTCACCACAAGACTAAGGCCAAGTTTGGCAACCCAAAAATAATTCATCTTTTTATCTTTTTTTCATCACACCACCTCTCTAATTTTCTGCACATATTTTCGTAAAAAGACAAAAAGTGCACTTATTTAGGTCATCCCAAACAACCCCTTAATTAGAGATTATATACTTTATTATGATATCTTTATAAAATTTATATATAGAATTTATGGCAATAAATCTTAATAAGTTTGCTTGGTTCCATTTTTTCAAAAACACTCTTCAGAAAATTCTACTTTCTTATTTTTCGTATTTTTTTGTTTTTAGTGAATTTTTTTAATATTTTAAGTAATTTTTTTACTTTTTAGACACACCTAACATAAATACACTTAAAAAGTAAAAAAAAATGTAAAAAAAAATCTTTTAAAAATTCATTAAATACCAAAAATATAAATTAAAAAAATACAAGAATTCAGGCCCTCGTTTGGGAACCTTCCTTTTTAGCCAAAAAGTCAAAAAGTCAAAAAGTTACTAAATTAGCCAAAAAGCCAACAACACATACTAAAAAGTCAAAGATTCTTTTTTCTCTCTACTTCTTGCACATCTTTTCATAAAAAGCCAAAAAGTCATCCCAAACATACTAGTTTTTTTTAGCTCATATTTTAGCTAGTACATTTTTTGTATTTCTTTGTCTTTATTAATTTTTTTAAATATTTTTTCACAAATTTTTTACTTTTTATATACATTTAAGTTAGGTGCATCTAAAAAAGTAAAAAAAAAAATATTTAAAATTTTAAAAATATTCACTAAAAACAAAAAAAAAACACGAAAATCAAAAAACTCAATTTTCAAAAAATTTAATCCAGAAAATACAAACCAAACACACTGAATGAATCTTTTGTTTTAAAGTGATGAAATCGAAATTTGTCATATCATTTTGAATTAATTTTCTATTTATATAACATTACTCTTAGAAAAAAATTCAAAAAATTCAATTGAATGCCCTCTCTATAGAATAAAGCCGCCATTGGAGAAAGCGTCATTTATATAGACTACATGTTATGCTCCATTGCCCGATTGGACAGTCCAATTTAATTCGGAGAGAAAGCCGCCGTTATGTTATTACAAGACCTAAATTAGCTGATCGAAAGAAACGCAAATGAAGATCAAATGTAAATGGTGAAAACTGCAACCCAAGTTCTATGGTAAATTGAGCTTTGATATGATCAAGTTACTAATTCTTCTAAAAGCTTAACAATTAGGAAATGAGTTCAATAATATATGAGAGTTATTAAACAGTTAGTTGGTTCACCGTTGGAGATGGTCTTACAAGACCTAAATTAGCTGATCGAAAGTAACGCAAATGAAGATCAAATGTAAATGGTGAAAACTGCAACCCAAGTTCTATGGTACGCAAATGAAGATCAAATGTAAATGGTGAAAACTGCAACCCAAGTTCTATGGTAAATTGAGCTTTGATATGATCAAGTTACTAATTCTTCTAAAAGCTTAACAACTAGGAAATGAGTTCAATAATATATGAGAGTTATTAAACAATTAGTAACAGTCATCAAGTCAATTTCTACAAAAGCTATCAAGTTTTTTATATGATAAACCACAGTAATTGTCTTGCACTGATGGTGAAATTTAAGTTACCATCATAGCCTGTGAGATAAAAAGACAAAAAATATTGCATGTGATTGCCTTCAAAAAATGACTACAAGCTCTAGATTTGCAGATACAATGTGAATGCATGAATGCTGGAACAATTCCTATCCTAGTCTATGTCTAATCGACTACTACCAAAAACCACAAAACCAGCAACAGCCCATTGTTATTAAACCTTCAATGAACCAATCAAAGAAAGTAGGACAATTTTCAATGGGCAGGGAAGGGCAGTGCAAAACCTCCTTCCAACTTCTGACTTTATTCTGATAGAAATAAATCTATGTGCTGATTAAAACTACAAGAAGTAAAATAAGTATGTAGGTAAGATAGTGAAATATTTGTCTAACAATTGATTCTTAGATTCTTTATTTATTTATTTTTGTATATTTACTAGGGGTAAAAAAACATTTATAGCCTCTTACCAAGAAGAGAGACTGAAATTTCATATATACTTTTTAAATTTTATTTAATTTTAAGTATATTTTTACATAATTTATATTATTTTTTCATAGAATAATTAACAATATGAAATATATTAGTAGATGTGTACGTGAACGTTAGAAAACAATTATCAAACCCTTCTACATGAACAAATTTGGTAGACAACACAATCTCTGTCAGCTTTTAGTTATCTCTTTCAATTCAACTACAATAGGAAAAGTTTGATGCGTGTGTACATATACGTCCTATTATACCTTTTTATGGTTTATATTATTTATTTTTATAATAAATATTACGAAATTTTTTAGTAAAATTGTGACAATTTATGATTCAAAAATGAAGTTACGCATTTTATGATAATATTACATATTTTTGTGGTAATGTTATTGTTTACACTATAAATTGTTTTCTGTCGATTGTGACCTGTCGACTGTGGCCAAATCCAATTTTATTGATTGTGACTCGTCGATCATGGCCAAATCTAATCTCATTGATTATGGCCAACTCCCTCACTATCATACCTATTTGCTGGCACACCTCCTCTCCTTGTTATATCAGCTACTCTTGGCTTGCTTCTTTTGCTTTGCTTGTCTACGTGCGGCCAGCCAATTTTGTTATGTCAATTTAAACTATAAATTATTTTTTATATAAAGTTATGGTCACAAACATTTGTATTATTATTATTATTATTGTTTCTGTTACTGTTTTGTGCAGCCTCAAAGCATGTAATGGACCATGGGTGTTCATGGTATGATGAGCAACAAATATGATAGATGACGTGGTACAAAGTATGGTAGAAGATGTGACTTGATGGAGGTGCAAGATGATGGGTCGTGAAGTAATTCAAAACATGATGGATCATGGTGCACATGAGGTAAGGAAAAGTAGCAAACGTGAGGCATAAAGTGAGATAAGATAAGGTGAGGCGGCGAATTTGTTTTAAGGAAATTATTTAATGCAGGTTTTGGTTTTTTTTTTTTTTTTTTTGCTGTTTTATTTGATTATGTATTTCTGTTCAATCTTCTTGTAATTTCTAGCATGTATCTGGTTCTGAAATTTTTAATTCCTAAATATGAATCTATTTATATTATTTAATCACACAATTTTAACAACAAACTTAAAACAGACCAGACACAACAAAGATACCGTTCAAGCGCGAGAAAGGTCGCTCGAGCGCCTAATGCACCCCTCCCAATAGTTCAGACCAGTAAAAGTTCGCTCAAGTACAACAATGACCGCTTGAGCAAAAAATTCAAACTCCTAATAATTTTGTAGACTACAAAAGATCGCTCGAGTGTAGGTATGGTCGCTAGAGCGAACAGGAAAATTTTTGAGCAACAACACTTTGAAAAACAAACTTCCAAACCTATTTCAAACTCAACCAAAACTCCTAATAGCCAAACCCAACAAACAATAAGATGAAAATGAGTAGAAAACCAATAAGACAAGGAAATTTCGGATCCAAAACAATAAATAGGCCGAGTCTAAACTAGAATTGTTATAGGACAGGACAATTTCGAATGCGGAATCTCAAATCACAAATCAAACAAACCCGTGGTTAGAGGGCAAATTGGTGAGAATTGATAATTTTAGCGACTTGAATGGTATTTCACATAGCCTTAATAGTTAGTTTGCCTCAAGAATTTTGATATAATTTTTTTGGTTTAGTTTAAAAATAAAAAAATAAAAAAAAAGTTTACTTTTAGGTTTTAGTTAAGTATATGAACAAATCTAAGAAAAAAAACTTACTGATGAAAAAAAAATTATGCACATTTTTTGGGGGTCATTTGTGATTTTTTTTTTTTCTTTTTCTTTTTGGATATCTTCCATATACTTTACTCGTGTATCTAAAAAAATTAACTCTAAATATAAAAAGGTTGACTAATGATTTTAAAAAATCGCAAAAAATATAAAGTTAGAAAACATCTTTAGAAAACTAAACCAAACTTCAACTAAATTTTTTATATTTTCATTAGACTTGTCAAACCAAAACATCTCAAAGTTCAACACAAATAACATTTTTTCAGTGGTTGGCGGCAGGTGATAACAAAATCGCCTTGAATTCTCTTTCATATATTTGTCATTTTCCACCTTAATTTATGTTGTTAGATACAAAAATCGATTGAGGCTTTAAAAATTGGGAGTTTGAGATTTTTTACATCACCTCGATTGCGATACAAAGATTCGAATTGTGAAATTAGGACATGGAGGGAAGAAAAAGAGGAAACAATATTCTAAAAGTGAATTGAGAGAAAAATAAATGAAGAAAAAATTTATAAACATAGATAATAAAGGATGAGAAAGAAGAGTTTTGAAGAAAAAATAATCAACAATAATTTATAAACAAAGAAAGATATTCTAAACCTAAAGTGAGAGAAAAGAATAAGGTTATATGCACA